GCGGCGGGAGCGCTGGCACCGCCGGGGACGCGCGCTCCGAACAAAGGTGGCACTACTGCGGCGGCCGCCGGGCCGCAGCCGCGCGAGGAAGGGGCGCTGGGATGCCGAGCTGGGACCCCGACGCCGTCTGCATGGCCCTCCCGCGTCAGCCCCGGCTCCAGTGCGACCGACCCCCTCCAGCAGCCTCGCTAAGCCCAGCCCGCAAGTCCTCGCCCAGGCCCCGCCTTCCCGTGCGCAGGCCGGAACCGCTCCCGAGCCCCGATTGGTCGCGCTTCCTCCAAGGCCCGCCTCTTCCGGGGAACGGATCGACGTCACTTCCGCCCGCTCCGGGTTCAAGAACTTCAGCCTCCCGACCTTATGTTTGTGAGCTTCGGTATTGTGGTCGGACTTTGGTCCGATTAGGAATTTTTCTTCTTTCTTTGCAGTTTCTGGCCTTTTGTTTCCGAGCTGAACGGGTGTGGTGTGATTAAGGCTCAGTTTTCGGACTTTGTACCGAAACCTTGTGAGCGGGTTAGCTTGGGGCCCAGAGTAGAAGTAAAGGAACGGCGTTTTCTCTGCGGCTTGGATGTGAACGTTAACGAGCGGGGTTAGAGTCCGGGGATTGGTGGTGTTAGTAGGAGCGCCGAGCATTTTCCTTATTCCGACCTCTTTATTTGCGTCTCAGTCTATTGCCAACGCGGTAGCGAAACTTAACGGTGCATTACTAGCCACGTTTTGTTTGGATTTAAGATAAACTCTTGTAAGAAGTTTCGTGAAGTAGCGGGTGGGATCCAAAGCATGTCCACTAGAGGGCTGGGATTTTTTCCGGGAACCAGTGTTGTCAGTCAGCTGTTGAAGAAGGGAAAGGAAAGCGACCTGGTCTGCGGCACCCTGCCCCAAGTGGCCCTTTAAAATCGGACTTTTTGTCAAGTGACCTTAAAAGTAGGTGTACGGCTTAGCTTAGTAAGTGCCTAGCGCAGTGAGAAGATGCGCCAGTGACCAATGTTCCTCGAACTTTTCGTTTTCTTAGTTCACGAAATCTAAATCAACCAGCGCGTTCATATTAGCATTGGTACCTAGCTAATCTCATTTGGGTCTAAGTCATTTTTGTAATCAAGTACATAGAACAATATTGGCCCAGTGTTCGCTTTCTGTGAATGGGTACTTTTCTAAATAGTGACTACTTGTCCCCCTCCGTCTCTAAAATCAGGTAGGTATGTTAGTGAAACGACCTTTAACTGTAAATGTTTAAGGAAACTGCTGCTTCTATTCCATGGAATGTTATCCATTAATAAGGAATACTCTGAGGAACATGCATTGAATTCAAAACAAACAATGGTGAATGAAAAAGCCCATACTAAAGCTTACATAGTATATGATTCTATCTATATAACAGTCTAGAAATGACAAGAGTTATAGAAATGGAGAACAACAGTAGGTGGTTGTCGGGGCAGGGGCAGGGGCAGGGGCAGGGGGTGCCTTATGGTGGTGGAAAGCCTGTATCTTGGCTGTATCAGTGTCAGTGAAGGGGTTGTAGAACTGTGGAACAGTGTTCAAGATACAGGATAAAAACTTTGAAAGTCATATAAACTTGTAAACTTCATAGGGTGCCTCCTATGGACATTCTTACAACTTTTATGAAAAGTAAATCTCAGTAAAAATCAAAAGTAAGCTGATCTCTCAGGGTATAAATGATTTTTAGAATTAGTACAAATGACTAAAACATTTATTTCACTAAACAAAAGAGCACAAAACAAGGATTAGCCGTCATTCACTTGTCAAGTTAATAAAGACTTACAAATGTTTAGTATTTGCCAGAGTACAGTGAAATGGTGGTATCCTGAACTGCTGAAGGCAAGGAAGCTCATTTTTCTTTTTCTTTTTTTTTATTTTATGTATTTGGTATAGGGTCTCACTACACAGATCTGACTCATAGTGATTCTCCTGTTTTCAGTCTCCCCAGTGATGGGATTACAAGTAAGCACAGGCTCAGAGCACCTAGAGGCGGGACTTGTGAGGCTTGTGGTACTGGGTATAGAATCCCAGTCCCTGCACTTGCCTAAGCAGGCATTTAGTCCACTGAGATATCTTGCTGGCCCTAAGGAAGCTCATTAAAAAAAAAACAAAAAACAAAAAAAACCCTCTTGAAAATAAAGCATCAGAAGCTAAATACCTAAGAAAGTATGGTTAAATTTTCTGGCATATTCTTTTTATTTATTTTTTAAAATTTATTTAGGACAGGGTCTGTAGGGTCTCACTAGCAGCTCAGACTCATAGTGATTCTCCTGTTTTCAGCCCCCACGTGCTGGGATTACAAGCCTGCGCCACCACACCACCACGCCCACTCTCAATGGCAGTCTCAGCGCAAAGGGCAGGATCAGCACAGCAGGCAGTGATCCAACCTGAGCTGCTGTGTTCTGCCTAAACAGGTGCTTTAGTCCACTGAGGTATCTGGTCAGCCCTTGGCATATTCTTGAAAGAATATATAAAGCACATTCTGAATAATTTTGAAAAAGGTAGTTAAAAAAAAAAAAAAAAATATATATATATATATATATACACCAAATCATATTCAGAGCAAAGCATAAGCATTCTTAAATATATTCCCGCATACAGTCCTAGGGAAAAATAATGGGTGGAAAATATCAAAATATTAAGTTACTTTTAAAATAATTTTTAAGATTATGAATTTGGTGAGAATTTCTCTCATGTTTTCTACAAATGATTATTGAATATATAACAGTTTTTAATCTCATCCATCAGCAGAAAGAAGAGTTAATAACTAATTCCTTTGTAGTTTGATAATATACTTAGTGATAACATGAATATGGAGATAATTTGTGGAGGACCATCTGGGCGACTGTCCTTGAAAGAAGAGCAGTTGTCTCCATTTTGGCTGTGCCTGACCTTATTTCCGTGTATTAATGGGTACAGAGCTGTCTAGGACTTTTCCTTATCCTTTCAATTGGCTTTAAGCAATGCATATTGGTCTAGTTGAGGTGCTGGGGGTAGTTTTTGAAGACAGCAAGTGTGTTTCCCTGATAACCCATACCTGCTGTTCATTAGTATGAGCCGGGTTGAGACAGGATGAAGAGCCAGTGCTCCAAACTGTTGGCTGGGATTGAGCCTTGAGATAGAGGCTATGACTTCCTGGGGCTTAAAAGATTACACATCAGAGCTGAAGCACCAGACCCCAAAACATTACATACTATCTCAATAGTATAATGTAAATCACTTTTTCTGCATATCCTTCTCTGCATATAGCAGAAGTAAATGTAGGCGGCCTACCTAGCCCAGCTCACAGTACTCACCTGCTTTCTGCAATTCTCAGTCATTCATCCTCAAGCCACTCCTTCATAAAACCTGGGTTTAGTCCTGGGTGGAGGCCTTTGTTCCAGATAGCCATCACCATGGCTGGACTTAGGACCCCTTGGTTCTCCATAATTATAAATGTGCCTTAGTGTCTTTATTTTTGCCATGGATTGCACTTGGAGTAGTAGATTGGCATTAACTTGGTGGGATTCCAATAACGTATCTTTGGGATTACAAATATAAACTTCTTGGACCAAGACAAGGCCCCAAAAGGGCTCACTACATAAATTGAGATGTCCCACTTAGCATATTGCTTTTAGAAATGTAGAATGACTAATCTGAGAGCTTATTAGAATTTATCATCCTGCATGTATGTTTTCACTGAATGTCACATCAAGAATCTTACCATTATAATGTATGTAGCTTTAAAATGTTTTAAACATTTGGTTAGATGAAGCAGAATTGGTAGGAAAAATCCTATGATTGGATAGAATGTTTGTCAGGTAGAGAGAGAGTTCCTGGATGACTTAAGTTTCTCCAAGTCATATAATGAGTGAAATATGGAGAAAATTCAGATCTCCCCCACAGTGAGGCTTATGCTCCTGCTCTACCATGGTTCAATACTGCTTCTCCAATATTGAAATTTGGGCAAAGGTGTAAAATCAAAAAAGACCACAGTCAAGTGTATTTGTAGATTTATGTGTGTTAAAGTCAGGATTGCCAAGGGGATAATTTAATGCAGGACATATAATTCATAGATTATAATATTCATCCAAAAAGTAAAATGCAGACGAGTGCAAGAGATCTGTCCACATTCTAGAGACCCAAAGAATCCAGCTGAGGGCCTAGATCCTACAGCAGCATCCTGTAAAAGTTCAGCTGAAGACCTAGAGCTCGTGGCAGTGCCCTTCATGAGTCCAGCTGGAGGCCTAGCAGCCTGAATATCTCATACAAGTCTGTACCAAGGATCTGCACTAGAAAGGTCCAAAGGTCAATGGTGGATGCCAGAAAGTCTGTGCCAGCTGGATGAAGGATCTGTGGCAGCAGGCTGAGGGATCTGCACTGGAGCCAGGAAACAATGCTGAAAGTAAGAACCAGAGCTTGCCTGAAAAGAATTGTAGTCAGCCTCCGTGACAGGGAGGACCCAAGGTCCTTCAATGATGAGACCAGCTGAGTTCATATCAGGAAAACCAGCATAATAAACTCCTCCAGGAGAATCAACAGCACACTACCTCACCATCTTCCCTTCTGGTTCTGCTTTTATGTTGTTGGCAACAATCTTCAGGTGGGCCTTTCTCTACGCACCCAGCATTATGCTGATTCAGTTCAACTGGGTGTTCCAAGTTTACCATTAATCCACCACAAAGTGTTTCATTCATCACAACTAGTTCATTTAAATAACATGACCAAACAGAATATTCTCCATACTTGTCAGAGACATACGTAGGTTGTCTGTAGCGATGGTCCCTGTCTTAGTTACTTTTCACTTGTTGCTGGGACAAAATGCCAACACCCAAAATGAAGGCAGGAAAGATTTATTTAGCTCACAGTTAGTGGAGGTTTCAGTCCGTACTCTACTGGCTCCAAGGCAAACAGCAGCAGTTCATGGCAGCAGAAGGCTGCAGCATCCATCAGGACTCAACTTCTATGCTGACTGTGAAGACCGGCATTCTACTGTGAAGATTAGAGCTCATCCAAAGTGGCATGCCTGCAAAGTGGCATGGCTGAGATCAGAGCTCCTCCCAGGAAGTGGGGTGCAGAAGCCTTCTTCCTTTATATATCCTTTTTGTGCTGAGTCAATCTGGAGTGGATCCTTCCCTGGGGTGGGGGGGGCATGCCTAGGGCATGGAATCAACAAGTGGATCCAGCCAAGCTTTCAACATCT